CACTTGGTTGTCATTACCAAATACTTCATTTGTTTCGCTTGCTATTATTTCTATGCGTGCGTACAAAAGCGGTGAGTCCACGTTTATTCTTAATCTGCTGGATGTATGGAGGAGCGTGGTTATTAAAAATGCCATAATGGGATTTTTGTCTTGGAACAAGAAGAAAAACAGAGCTTAAATTCCCCTCCGCTCCCTCCTCCCCGCTCGCAGATGCGCGCCGTCTCAGCCGCTACGCGAGCGACGGCCTCTGCTGCGATGACCCGGACGACGACTTCAACGGCAGCGCCAGCGGCATCGGCGAAAGCGGGGGCCGCGTCGGTGCCGCTGGCGGCGGCGGCGGCGGAGGAGGAGGAGGAGGCTCCGGCGGCGGCGGCGGTGGCCGGGGCCCGTCGTGGCGCAGGACACGCGGCAGCGCCGGGCGTGCTCACGCCATCGAGTTCCGCTCGGAGCCGGAGTTGGCGGCGCGATCGTCGCGACCCCGCCGAGAAGACGCGGGCAGCGTGCGTGAGACGGACATCCTGAGCAGCGACGACGACGACGACGACGACGACGATCGTCGTCGTCGGGGACGGGGCGGCGTGGGCGGCGTGGGCGGCGTGGGCGAGCTGTGCGGTGGGCGCGGCACGGCCAAGTCCGTGGAGATCCTCGCAATGTCGGACGACCGCTACGCCGTGGCCACGGAGCCCGGCCGGCTGGCGTCGCAGGTCCACGAGCGGTCGGTGTCCCCCGCGAGGTCGGACGGGGCAGCGCCGGCGCTGCGGCCGCTCCGGCAACAGAAGATCGTCTTCGACGCCGTCGGAGGCCACGACGAGGGAGGCGGCGGCGTTGGCTGCGGAGGCGGCGGCGTTGGCGGCGGCGTTGGCGGCGGCGGAAGAGTCGGGCCGCGGGGCTCGCCGCTTCACCGCCACGCGAGTGACCAGTCGCTGAACTCGTTGCTCAGCGAGATGGGAATCTACGAGGGGCTCAGCGGCTCCGACACCGAGTGAGAACCTTACGCGAGTTTTGCTCCTTGGCGTTGGAGCAAGTCGTGGTAAAGCCGGACGGAGACTGACGGTTGCTGCTGCTGCATCGGGTCGGCCGTGGCGAACAAGGGGATTGTGGGATTCTGTCGTGGGGTCGGTTGCAACGTCGCTTGAGTAAACATATATCGGACTGTTCGACTCTTTACAAGTATATTCACATGTTAAGCGACTCCACTAGTGTCCCTTGGTTGCGTCGAAGCAGCTCTCTAGAATTTATGTAAAAATAAGCACATTGGCTGTCCAGTGCTACATTGGGCTGGTTGCGTATTTAAAACGAACGTTTAATTCAGCTCCATTCCTCAAGCTGCACTGTGTGCCGACTGGCTGCTTGTTCGATGGGAGCCATCGATTGAAGGGCTAAGGGCAATGTTTATTTTTTTAATTTAATTGTTCGCTTTGAAGCGGGTACGATGTTAACGCTGGTATCATATTTCCTCCTTTTCTCACTGGAAAATTATTTTTGGCAGGCGCAGGTAAATATCTCCAGGGCCTACCCGTTAATTTAAAAACTACATGCGATGGGGATTTATTTTGGGGGGGGTTTCCTCAACGATTGTGCGACAAAGCCGGCCGTTTGTTATTTAATGGTTTAGTGCAGCTACAAAGGCTTTCTCGCGAGCAGCTTTTTTAATTTATCTCCACCAGCTGGTGTCCATGAATGCGCCCAGCCACCACCACTGGAGGACCCATGGCAAGGTAATGCATGGGGCAGATTCCAGCATTGTCCCTTTGGCTTTGGTTCCATTCAGGATTAAATTCCACAGTGAAACAGTCCCCGATTGGGAAGAGGTGGCCCTGAACCAGTTTTAATCCGATTTCGATTGCCGGCGTGCACACACGGAAGATGTTGGCATATGACAAGTGGAATTCAGACAATAAGACAATCTCGCAAGCACAAGCCCGGATGGGACCCGGTCTCTGAATGTGTGGACTGTGGCTGAACTTGAAAGTCCCAAGGGAAAGGGCACGGTTTGTGAGACTCGGTCTCAGAGTGAATCTGGGCTGAGCCCCAGGAATGTGTTGTGGACTTGTCTCAGCGAGTTCCTTGCTCGTACATTTGTAAATGATGTGATTGCCACACTTTCTTTATGAACGAACTTGTGTGTGCCATGGAGGTTTGTGTAGGACTGTGTGCGCTCCCCAGGAGCCTTGAGCATCTGGTGAACAAGCTTCGGGTTCTTTGGAGATTCTGCGCGGAGTATTGAGTAGGTCGGTGGTGGGGACTGCCCCGGAACCCAGCACAAGCCTTACCTTTGTTGGGAAGATTTGTGTGATCTGCTAGCCTTAACTGACAACACAGTATCGCCAATTGGATTCAATGAGAAGAACAAACAAGCGCTGTCAAGTTTAGTATTTCGTTCATTGATCCATTGGCTGTATTTTAATTATTTTGCACGCTGGACATGGGACTTTTACGACGAAGTGCGATGTTACAGGGTAGAGTGCAGCGTGTGATGATGGTTGTGAGCCGTGCACTACTCTTGGAGCAGTGGAAGTGACTGGGGATCGCCTGGCTCTCATGGTACTGTGCCCACACAAAGCGTTAATCATAATCATTACAGGGCGTTAAGTGTGTCTGGACGTCGTGCTAGCCCGAGATCCCAGTCACCGCTTTGCTGCTGCTGCTGTTGTGGTGTGCTGATGTGCGTCGTTATCTTTATATTTTTTTATCGCTCTTCCCAGCGAAGGAAAAGCTTCACCAAAACGCGAAGCGCGGCACGGCAGTGCTGGCGCGAGGCTAAAGAGGAATGTATTGAGCAGGGTGAGCACCGCTTGGACTCGCTCGCCACCACCGTCGCGGGCGATTGCTCAGACGGCGCTCGTGCGTGAAATCCGGGGTCTCGACGCGAGCGGCGTGACTTCACTCGTTAGGGCGTCGTGACCAAGGCTGGCTCGCCCTGCCCGGCAAATCCGGCAATCGGTGACCGTCTCTGTGTGTTTGTTGCACTGCGCACGCAACGCGTGGATAATTCGCTACCCAAAGCATGTCGCGAATCTTGCTGCCGATGGGCCGGAAACGTTTCCCAACCAGGCGGCAGTTTCACAGCATCGGTCTCGCCTCTCATCCCTTTAATTTCCGCCCGCTGTCCGCTGACCATCCTTACGCCTACTCATCCGTTGACCCACCCACTCACTTCACCTGCCTGCCCATCCACCGCCCACCCACCCACCCAGCGTTTGTGTGTTTTTCTTACTCCTCTCAAGTTGTTTGCGTGACAATCACGATAAATGTGGGGGGCGCACGTGAACCGCCGCTGGGTTTTGCCGTCGCCCGTGCCGGCAAAGCACCGTTGTTTGCCTCTCCACGGTGGCCTGTCGAGCTTTATGCCTGTAACCCCCCCCTCCTGCCTTCTGGTGGTACTGTTGTTGCTGTTCGTTCATTTGTTCGTCGTTTCGTCGATTTGTTTCCTTTTCGTGTAATTTTTCTTCCAACTGCCTATCTATACGTGTGTATGTACATTGCTAACACGAGTTGTGGATTTTATTCAGCGTAGGCTTCGAAACGTTTTGTAATAAAAAAAAACAAAAGAAAACCGATCGGCGTGAGCTGGTTCACGTGGCGTCGATGATGTCAATCGTGTTGACCGCTTGAGTGGGCTCTGGCGCTCGCTGCCCTGTCAACGGAGATGCCTCCACCAACTCTCCCTTCCCTTGGTGTTGACATGCGTCTCAGCCCGGCACCCTCATCGCCCATCGCGGTTCTGTACGAGGCCCCACAGCAGCACACATTAGTTTGTTCTTCCCCCCCCCCCCGCCACCTGCGATTTAGCACGGTTGGCTACGTATGGTGCGAAGGAAGTTCAACGTACGGTCATCCGTCTGATTCCTGCTGCCTTTATTAGCGGCACAAATAAACTGGCACGTGCGCCGAGCCCTGATTCGTCGCAGCAAACACTCGGGAGGCTGAGCTACATCGCAGCGTTATTTCAAAGCGAGAAAATGCTGTTACGTGAAGTGCTCCGTAAATGTTTTCCTCTGCTCCGTCGGGGTGTGTGTTTTGCGCAATGGGTGTTCGTTGACTTTCCAGTATCACCCGGTTACGTTCAAGACCGCTTTTGTTACTCGTCACTGCAAAGAAAGCCACGTGATTGCAGGTTGCGTCTTGACATCCGCTGCGTAGCCCAGAGAAGTGAAACACAAAGCCATCGACGAGCTGGCCACTTGGGCCAAAAGTATCACTGGTGACGTGTTTCTACTTTTCCTTCACGTGGGTGACAATTTGCGTGTGGGTAGGAGAACGGAACACGGCGTCTTCACGATGTCCCGTGGGAGAAAGGGGAGAGCGCAATAAATATCGTTGCGTCCTGTTCACCGCTTGGCTTTGTCGGGGGCCCCACACGAGCATCCGTGCCATTGCCTTGCGCACGTGTTGCGCTCGCCTACCACGGACGACCCACACACGCATTTTCATACCCTTCAACCCCCTTACCAGTGCTCTACCTTTTTACAGACCAATTCAGACCTTATTGGCCACCCCCGTGCCCCTTATAAATCTCAACGTTCATCCTACAAAGTCCCATCACAAGGGAGAAACGCAAACAAATAGACAAAACAATACTATTTTCTTGCTCGTGTTGAATCCGGCTGGACGCCGCATGGACCTGAAAACCCAATTCCTCTGTGCAGGAATACGGGTCAACCGTATGGGTTGATAGCTATGCCTGAATAAATATCGTTCCGTTCTGTTCACCTCTTGGCTTTGACGGGGGCCCCACACGCACATCCGTGCCACGCCTGGCCCCCGTGTTGCGCTTGCCTACCACGCACACGAATAAAGACAAAGATCCCCCATATGGATTTAACAGACTTGAGGCAATTGCTGTTGGCGAGCACCTATGAAGGCCGGCACGGCTCACGAGGGGGTGGGTGGCCAGCACCACGCCCAGCCGCCTTTATCTCCCCAGTTGCGATGTTTTTACGCACCGGCCCTGGACCGGTTCAGATAATCGTCGCTGGGTGTTGGCCGTGAGCGGGAATCGAACTCGGGTCCACCAGGTTCGTAGTGCAGCGCAGCTACCGCTCCCACGGACAACCCAACCCACACACTCCGTGCACAGGGGGCATCCTGCCACGGGAACTCAACTTCCCGTTCTCCCAATCCCCCCCGCCGGCCTCTGGTTAAACTTTCACCACTTGTTACATCCACCGCTCGTGGCCAAAGGTCGCGGGTGGGGGAAACGGTCACATGACGACGCACGGAACTCTCGGCGCTCGCAGAACGACGGCAAGGAAAGCGTCGCGCCCTCGATTCGTTTCGTTGCTTCGGGGGGAGCTTCGGGAGAACCTCAAAGGCGCGGGCGGGGTCAGCAGCCCCCCCCCCCCCACCCACGCCATCCGATGGCTTCGCAGGTAAGAAGAGGAGCGGTAGTGGGGGGGGTGTCGATCCAGACGACGTTTGAATTTTTTTTTTTATAAACCTGGAGTGCCGCGTCGGGGGGTTTGGGGGGGGGTCTGCTAAACGGGGACCCCTGGCCCGGCCACGGTGTTGAGAACCCTCCCGAGGAGTTGCGTGGCACGGGGAGGAGGGCAGGCCGGGCGTTTTCGTGGCTGTGCCGCTACCCAGAGGTCAACCTGGTCTTTGTACCCGTGTTGTCGGTTCTATTGATCTATTTCAACAATCCGAAATCATGTGTGTGTGTGTGCGCAGCAGATCACGGTTAAGGAGGAAGCTGAGTTTTGAAAGTTCAGTGGAACTGTGGCGGGATGATGGGCCATGATGGTGATCGGGGATGGGTTTGGTTTGATCTTGTCCGAATCCGCAGTTTTTCGTTTGAGCCGGGAAGGTTTTGGCAAGGCAACGTCGTACAGTAGGTGGGTAAAGGGAGTAGTAATGCTGTGTGGAAATATTTTTTTTCAAAGTATGCTGCTATTTTAAGTGTAAGACTTTGAACTCAAACAACGTTGAGCAACACCCACAATTGGCATGTATACATTTAATTGGGACAATGTTCCTGATGCAAACAGATTATATATATTTTTTTACAGGAAACTCAATGCGTGTTGGATGTTGCTGTTGTCAGCAGCGACACAGAGTGGTGGGCTATTTCGCCACGCAGTCAAACCCGCAAACCTGAGCTTGAATCCCGGGTTACAGCCAACATCGTTGGCAAGCAGTTGTTTCAACTTGTCCTGGGGCACCTTAAACCCTTCAACAACCCTTGATTGGTCGACGTGTTTGCCCGCACATTCGCGAGAAGTCGACGTACTCCGTAAAAACGGGTCTCTTTTTTAACAGGAACACGCGGTTGCTTTGGGGGGGGGTGACTAGTTAACACATTTCTTGGAAGTATGACTTCACGGGCTAATAACATCCATGGCCACTGGAGCTTCCCCTGCACCAACCCTGACCAGGGTGGCAAAGTTGATGGTCAAACCAACCGCATTTGAGTTGGGGGGGGGGGGGCATTCCATCCAGCAGTCGTGGGTTGACTAATCAGCGATTAAATTTTGATTTAAAGCTTTCGTGACTGCAGTAATTCATATTCTTAGTTCTTTCGGTAAAGTCACGTTGAAGGGAAACAACAAAATAATAAAATATATATAAAACAATAAAAATTCTCACGACGTTTCGACCATAACACAAACGGTCGTCTTCAGCGATTCATACCTTGTCAACCCCATTATCAGTGTCCTACCTTGTTACAGACCAATTCAGACATTACTGGTCACCCCGTGTCCCTTATAAATCGCAAAGTTCATCCCACAAAGTCCCATCACAAGGGAGAACAACAAATAGACACAAATGTTGTTGTTCGTGTTGAAACCGCTGTACGCCATATGGACCTGAAAACTCAATTTCCATGCACAAGAATACGGGGTAAACCGTATGGGTTGTAACCAGTGCCGGGTTATCCTAGTAGCAAAAGTAGCATATGCTACGGGCCCTGCGCTAAATGCTTCCAAGCTATCAATTCCGGTTCAGTGATTCTGCACTTGCTCTATAACTATAGGACTATACTGCTTTCAACTTTTATGAACGACTGGGTGTTTTAAGGTTCGCGATTTGTCGTATTATCTGGCTGTATAGCAAATGAAAAAAATACAAATACTTTACTATGCAAGTAGAAAATTCGTATTTTAATATTTACGTCTCTTTTTTATGGCTCCCTTGATAACATATGTTCCAGGCCCCGCACTAGCTTAGTCCGGCACTGGTCGTGACAGGTATGGGGATGGTAAAATCGTTTTTTTCTATCGGACCGTGCGCCCCGTGATGCCCCCTCGAGTGCAACGGGCGATCACGTGGCCCCGTAGCTGCGTCGATCCTTGTTCACAAAACCTCCCCCACGAGTCTCCTTGCGATGTCATTGGCCTCGCAGCACACCTCCTCATCCTCCTGCCTTTCCGATTTCCGTTCACTTTAATAACAAAATCTTCTTAAGTGAGTGTTTATTCTAATGCGAGTTGTGTGCTACTCTTTGGTTCTTTCGGTAAAGTCACGTAGGTATAGATTGAGTTGTGTGTGTGTTTTTTTAATTGACAGGATGGATTTTTTTTTTAAATACGCGCCCTTCCAAAAAAAAAGAATCTAAACTATTCCCATATCTGGCTGTCACCTGATGAAGCTAGTTGTAATTACTGGCGAAACGTCGTACTCAGATAGTAAATGTTGTGGCTTTGCTCTCTAACACGCGAATTTGCATCTTCTGTTTACGTGACAAACCTTACTAATTGGCTGTGTCGGGTGGTGGCGGGTTTAACGACACATTTATATTTATGTGATCCAACCCAAAAAAACTGTATTATTGATCTCATATGTATGGCTTTTTTTCGTCAATCTACTGCTGGATGAGGGTCTCCCTCAATCCGTGCTGGTCGTGTTATAGATTGTTCTGCCCTTGCCCTCTGTTGCCCGCAACTTTGCTGCACAGCAACCTGTCACTTCAAACCTGTTTTAATCTGAAGATCACCTGACCATAATCAGGCTACAAATGTATAGGACTTTCCTATTGTGTCTAATAATTATCATATGTGCATTTAGCTTTAGTGGTTCGTACCAGTGAATCACACACTGCACTATTAACCTCGTGACCGAAGTTTGATTCCCAGCCACGGCTATAACATGAATGCCAAATTGATAGATGAACCGATCCTGGACTTCCCTGCCTCACCGACCCACACTGACCAGCGTGGTGAAGCATGGTCAAACAAAGCACTTGACTGACATGGTGTGTGGGGAGGCCTCCATCCAACAGCGGATTGACAAATGGTTGTATATTTTGTATTTAGATGTGTTGCAGATTCTAACGAATCAGACATCAGAGCACAAGATGCCAATAGTGGGCACTATAAAGACACACGTTACTAGATAAACTTATACAACTTAAACATTTGAATAAAAGGGAAGATAGGAGTCGCAGTGGTTAGCGCATCGCGTCATAAATACACCAGTCTGAGTTTGATTCCCGGCCATGTCTAGCATCAAGGGAGAGTGATATCTGGACTGGCAATTGCTGTTCCCCTTTCACCAAACCACACTGACCAGCAAGGTGAAGTATGGTCAAACAACCACCATGGTGAATACGGCTCTGGGGGGGGGGGGGGGGCAGTGATCCCTTCTTGCAGCAATGAAATTACATTTCTATCAATAAAAACAGGAAAAAAATATTTCTTGATTTGAAGCTGTCGTGACTGCAGGAATCCATACTCTATGGTTCTTTCGATAAAGTCACGTAAATATTTTTTTTTATTTTATAAGGTCACAAAATTGATTTGATTTTATACCTACGTGACTTTACCGAAAGAACCAAATAGTATAAAAAAAATTCATTTTGAATAGCCGAGCCATCTCTCCTTTTGCTCTTTATTTAAAAAAAACAGTGAGCGAACCATACAGTTGGGCTGATGTCCTCTCTGCGGGTTTGGCAGGTTGTTGCGGGACTGCACGGGGGAGTCCACGATAGCCAGCCGAGTTTATTTCCTCAATTTAATTTTAGCTCCTCCAGGAAAGAGGCAGTGACGTCTTAAGGTCTGATAAGGGGACCGCCAATAGAAGAGTACAAAGACAAAAGAGCCATCGTATAGCCTTCACAAACTGTTGGGGCAAGTTCCTGTTTGCAAGCACCTATGAAGGCCGGCATTGCACACGAGGGGGTTGGGTTGTTTAAACCCAAACACACTGCACCAGGTACTCATTTGAGGCTGAGTCGACTTAAGGGAGGAGGCCCAGGATCGGTTAAGATAAATCGTCACTGGTGGTGGCCGTGAGCGGTAATCGAACCCGGGTCGCTGGGTTCATAATGCAGCGTGTTAACTACTACACTACCGTTCCCCATGATAAAACAATACAGTACGCACCAGTAACAACTTACTGCAGCTCTGGCTGGGTTAGGCTACAAAAAAGGCCGAGGTGGGTGTGATTATATTATTATGGTTATTTTTGTATGATGCTTATTTAGTCAGGAAAGCCTCACTGAGTCTCGAGACACTTTTTCAAGAGGGTCCTGCCAAGTTATTTAGTCATTCGGGGTCAATGTTGCCGCTCTGTGTAATCCCAATTTAGTAATTTGTCGGTAAATTTTCAGCATTTGGATGTTTGGCCAATAGCAGTTACATTGTATTTTTTTAGCTATGGCAAGAAACCGCGGAACATGTAAGCTGAACACAGAGAGGCACCCGAGTCAGGAATCAAACCCAGTGCCTTCTTGTTGCGAGGCATACTTGTTACCACTGCACCACCCAAATGCAATTTTCATCCATGTACTCTGTAATGAGTGCGTGTACTCGTATGTAATGCACATTTCTTTAAGGACGCTACTGGAGAGTTGGAGGCAGTCACCCTCCAGAATCAACAGAAGGCAGAGGAGTGACGCTCACAACAACGAGCAGTGCCTCGGGCGGATAAAACGCAGATAGCTGGCACAGTATGGGGTACAGGTGGTGCGTGCATCTGCTAGTTATCTCAGTCAGTGAACCCATGGCACCTGGGTCTCTTCGTGACATCCTGCCAGCGAGCCTTCGACACGTCACGTGGCCTCAAAGTGCACCTAGCATGGCACAAGCGCTGGTGGTGCCGTCACCGCCACTAAATGGTGAACGGCGTGTTGTTGTTGTTGTACGTGCACATTACTCGCACGCACAGACAATACATGGTAAATGGACTAAACACGCATGTGCGTGTGTGTGTGTGCGGGTGCATGTATGTTCCTGTTGTTTGCTCGCATTTGCAGGCCAAAGTTCTCTACGACTTCGAGGCGGTCCCGGGATCGGGAGAGATCTGCCTTGCAGCCAACGAGATTATCACGGTCACGGACATGGTGCGACACCGCACTCGGACACGTCGCAAAACCTTCGGGGCTGTTCATTAGAAACGAGGAGCACGAATTGCCGATGAAGATGCCTCGCGTAAAGGGGCAGGCCTTTCTGACGGAATGCCGCCGTGCGGTGGATGTGCGATGATGGTTAAATTGAGTTGCTGCTTTGTATTCCAGACACTACCTCGACAGTTTAACACGTCGGCTTGCGTGACCAACGTTAAACGTAACATAGGATCGCGCAAATTTAAATGTGTCGTTGAAAACCGCCACCAGCCGCGACAGCCAGCTATCGCCACATGAAGCTAGTTGTAATCACCAGCAAAAGAATTGTTCTCGAATTGTAAATGTTGTGGGTTTACTCTCCACCACACCGGTCAGATGAAGTAGTAACTCATTGGCACGTTTTGTTCACGTGACAAACCCTACTGATTGGTTGTCGGGTGGTGGCGGGTTTAATGACACATTTATATTTACGCTATCTAACTCAAAAAGGTCCTTTATCATGAAGTACCTCCACAGTTTGCCGTGGCTAACATCAGTGGCGAGTGACACTCGGACGAGCCGGGGTCACCTGCCCAACCGTCAACCCACATTAACCAGCCTGGTCAAACAACCCCCAGGACTGACACGGCACGAAGGAGGCATTTATCCACCAGTGGATTGGCAATGTGATGGATATTTTTATCCTTATTGTTGTCATTACCCCCCCCCCCACCCCCATCGTTCTTAACTGCAGCTGCAGTTAAACCCACTTTAACTAGCGCTGCTGCTGCCACATTCATTCGTCAGTCTTCAATCTTAACCCTGGCACTTGCCACCACCGCCTGAGGTGGAGAAGAAAAAGAACCGAACTTTATTTCATTCACACGGCGAGCTCTGATAACTATTCGGACGCATTGGGGGCCCGCAGACCAATATAGAATGGGTCGTGCCGACGTGTTGCGACTTATCGACAATCGTCTCAGGTGTTTTATTTAGTTGTTGGGTAATTGTCGGTTTCGGGGGGGGGGGGGGCGTTTTAGATGGATCGAGAGCGGGAGCTGAATTGTGTGGAGGTGAAATATGGTGGCGCAGCTGGTCTCGATCATTTTGCTGCCACCGTCCGCAGCGTGAATGACGCCTTTTGTTCAAGGCTAAGTGAGTGGCCGTTAGGGGGCCATTACGCGCAATGAGAACGTTCAGCGTAAACATTAAGGGAACTGAAGGTTAAGATAAATTGATCGGGAGTGGTGGTGCACGATTCTTCGATTCTGCTACGGAATCAACCCGGTGGTTCGAGTTTTGATGCCCGGCCACACTGACGTGGGTGCCGAGCGACACCTGAATCCCTCCCGGAGGGCCCCCTCATCCAGCAAGTGATTTACAAAAGGGGCCGTGGTTAAAGACACGAGTCGGATTTCACCGCAATGGCTGCACAACGTGCAAACCGTGTTACAACACTTGAGTCGCGTTCGATAACTTTGGATGGTGTGCGACGTTGGTAAGGGCGCGGCAGAGTTCGCGCGCAGCAAAGTTGCACCATTTTGCAGTCAAAAGGCTTGAGAGCAAGGGCCACGAGTTACGACGCTACGGTTAGAAGCCTGCGACACGTCGCGCAACACGAGCACGTTGATGGCTCACATCCGAACGAACAAAAAAAACAATTGGGCCCCCTTGGCAGCAGCAGCAGCAGCAGCAGGGGCTAAGTGTGTGCACGTTTCTCCTGTGACGCGTGTTGCTTTCGTAACGCGAATTGGATTTAACGCGATGAATGTACTGGGGAACACGTATTTTCACAACGCGGACGCGAATTGGATATAACGCGATCGAGTGAACGGAACCACGTCGCGTGCGAGTAGGAATAAGCGGTCGTAGCGGCTGCCTCGGCGTAGCACCACGCAAGACGGGATGCTGCTGGATGCTTCTAGGTGCTACCCACGCTCCATCCGTCTTTGTTCAGCCTGCCGCACGCATCTCACGTGTTATCGCGCATCTCACGTGTTATCGCGGACCGTGCTTTACCCTGTGATATATATTATTTATTACAACGCGATCTTTCCATAATGCGGTGTTATTCAGGAACACAACTACCACATTATAGGAGAACGGACTGTATGTACTGTCCCCTTGTGGGTCCTGGACATGGCAGGAGAGGCCACTATGCCATCCTCCTTGTTGGAGGTTCCACGGTTCGAATCCAGCAGCCACCCTGATCATTACTGCGGTGTGCAATGACCAAAAATAACACTCCATGCCGTCTGCTTCACTGTGGACATTTAAGACCCCCTGACGTCATTTCAGGGGCCGAATAAATATAATTTGCCTGCAAATTACTCAGTTGGTTTTATACACACGGCAATCATCACCCCCTACGAGCAGTTTTATACCCTCAGGTCACTCTTGCAAATGCTGCTGCACTAACCTGGTATCTCGAGCTCCCACCAGGTTAATCAAAATAGACTTGAAACTTTCAGACAAGAGGAGCTCTGATGTCCTACAATTGTATATCACACACGCAACGACTAGCTCTTGATTCGGTACTGAGCGTATTTGTCCGTGCGCTAAAAAAAAACCACAACCTTGGTATTTGTACAAACACAAAAAATGTGCGGACGTCTCTTAGCAAGATATTAAAAATATGTTGGTGGTATTTGGACACCCACGACACCCAAAGTGGCTACATCCCTGCTCGTGGCCCCTAGCCCCCCCCTCTCGCCCCCCTTTCTAGCCCCCCTCTCTAGCCCCCCCCCCACCCCCACCCCCACAGCTTGTGTGTTGACGTGATCGATGCTCATGTCGCAGACCATGGGCGAGGGCTGGTGGAGCGGCGTCAACTCCAGGGGAGAGAACGGACACTTTCCAACCAACTACGTGGAGGTGCGCAGAGCCTGATGCACTCTCACCCGTGAAGCCCTCACTTTTGCTTGAAACCCGTTTGATCCACGTTGAGTAGCACGCGTAGCCGGTAAGGGCTTCTTTTAAACTGCGCTACCTATTAACCAGAAGCGGATTATGACTTCTATATTTACGGGGCAGAAAAATATATATATAATATGCAGGTGCATATTATTATTTTTGATCTTAATTTTATACTGCTGAGAATACATTAATAAAGATGTCCAGTTTGAGGGGGGGCATTGTCCCCATTCTCCCCCCCCCCCCCAGACTCCGCCCATACTATTAACTACTGATTATTTTACCAGGTAAAGCCCACTGAGCTACCTGGCCAAAAATGATAGCTTAACAAAGCGGCTCATCACGTGGAAATGCATATCAGCCGAAGACTCTAAACGCACGTTGTTTCTAAATGTGGAGGGGAAACCCCAGAGGACCCGGATGAAAATCCACACGACCACAGGGAGAACATGCAAACTCCAAATATACAGGCGTCAGCGTGGGGATCGAACCCACGACTTCCTGTATACCAGGCGAAGTAGTCAACATCGCGGCACCAAATGGCTCTCACTATGGGTTTATGGGGTTCACCGCATGTTATTTGGCCGGATTTCCCATTTTTGGTCGGAAGCTTCCTCAGGAACTGAATTAGTTGCAGGCAAAATGCCCAACTGGAAGCCGGTCTTTTTTTTTTGCAGCGTTGAATCCGCAAATGGTAAGTAAAAAAGTAATAGCAAATATTGCTCCGTTTCTAACTTTACAACCGTTGTAACTATGTATCCTGTAACAGTCTGCTGCCGTATACGTGTATGAATACATGAAGCCTATTGCCCGTGTTAACATCTCCTGAAAATAGGCCCCCAGTTAACACGTAGCCAAAAGGCCTTCAATCCAATCAGTACTTACATTTACAAGACAGCTACGAAATCTGTCCCCAGAAGGCAGCCATAAAAACGATTCAATGCTGTCGTATATTTTATGTCTCACGAGGCTGCGCGTGTTGGTTTTGCCGATAGCTCGCTCGGTAAGATTCTTTGACCACGAAGAAGTTTTCCTTGCACTGCAAGCTGCTCGGCAGAATGAGTCAGCTCAGGATTTCCAGGATTTTCCAGGTGGCCCAGATGTCCTGTCACCCCGCAATTAAATTATTGAAAACTTAATATTTTAAAAGTAACGTTTTTTTTATTTTACTTAAAACAGAAAATTAATGTGCAAAGGAACAAAAAATGTTCGGGGTCAATTAATTGGAGGTCACGACACATCTGGATCACTCTGGACACGTGAGCAGCGCCCACAACCAGGGAAGGAGTCCAGAAGTTTATTTCCCAACGGGAATAAAATAAAATGTGGGGCCCCGGTAGATAACAACGACGTTGGCTGGAGGTCCCATCCCATCCCTTACACCATCATCGCCGTTGTCAAAGCGAACGACTATGCCCCAGGAGTAGATTGTTAGCCATATACGCATTATTTAATTAATTAAGGGCGCCACGGTGGTGTGATGTTGATCTTTCTCGCCAGGTATGCAGGAGATCGTGGTTCGATCCCGACCCTGACGCCTGCTGCTGTATATTTGGAGTTTGCGTCTCTCTCTCTCTCTCATCAACATCACGGTGGCTAGGAGAGGTTAACTACCTCGCCTGGTACACAGGAGGTCGTGGGTTCGACCCCGACCCTGACGCCTGCTGCTGTGTATTTGGAGTTTGCGTGTCTCTCTCTCTCTCTCTCATCAACATCACGGTGGCTAGGAGATGTTAACTACCTCGCCTGGTACACAGGAGGTTGTGGGTTCGACCCCGACCCTGACGCCTGCTGCTGTATATTTGGAGTTTGCGTGTCTCTCTCCCCGTTGGTCGCGTGGATTTTTTTTCTCTCCAGTTTTTCCCTCCGCATTTAAAAACGTGCATCGAGATTATTGAGATTATTTTGGTGCTATAAATATTCAAATGTTGGGACACTTTGTTGAGCTCGCATTTGTGGCCAGGTCACTTATGGAAAAGAAGTTAATACCTCAGTGGGCTTTGCCTGGTAGGATGTAGATAGTTTCGTTTTATTTGTTTGTGTTTGGGTTAATTGTTGACCTTTCTTGTACTTTGCACTCCTATCGTGTTGTTGTACTGTTTGTTGTTGTAACGTTCTTACCCGCCCCTACTGGACATCTGTGAAAGATATCTTTACAGCTCATCGGATTCCCCCAGCATAAATATTCTGATTCTGTTTAGAATACTTGCTAAGAGCATGCTTTTGCACATGCTCATATGGGACAGAGGCTAGATCTTAATTGTGTTCATAAAATTAAATTGGTGGCAAATATGTTAACCAGATTATTGCATCGCCGTATACCCTACATCTCGAGATTAGTTAGTTTGATATTTACTCACCAAACTATCGAGTAATTCAAACATGTTCTTGTTTTTATATTCTTAGTTTTTTCGGTAAAGTCACGTTGAAGAGAAACAACAAAATAACAAAATATATATAAAACAATAAAAAATTCTCACGACGTTTCGACCATAACTCAAACGGTCGAAACGTCGTGAGAATTTTTTATTGTTTTATATATATTTTGTTATTTTGTTGTTTCTCTTCAACGTGACTTTACCGAAAAAACTAAGAATATGAATTACTGCAGTCACGAAAGCTTTAAATCAAAATATGTTCTTGTTTATTTCTTGTTGGGATGGCTCTGAGCTTGTGGCCCTGGTAAAGTTGTACTGTACAACTTGTTGGGATGGCTCTGAGCTTGTGGCCCTGGTAAAGTTGTACTGTACCCCTTGTTGGGATGGCTCTGAGCTTGTGGCCCTGGTAAAGTTGTACTGTACCCCTTGTTGGGATGGCTCTGAGCTTGTGGCCCTGGTAAAGTTGTACTGTACCCCTTGTTGGGATGGCTCTGAGCTTGTGGCCCTGGTAAAGTTGTACTGTACCCCTTGGTCCCCCCCCCTCTGCCCTCTTTTTTATCAGGCCTGGCCCTGGACCCCGTACCACCTTGGTGGATCTGAGCGGTTGAGTCCGTGTTGACCCCCCCCTCCCCCATTCAAATCCCCTCCCCTCTTAACTTTGTTTCCTCAGCTCATCGCAAACGCACAGAGCAGTGCCCCAGTGCCGATCTCCCAAGCGGCGATCCCCTCTGCAGCCAGCTCGTCTTACAATCCAGCCCAGGCTGCATCCCTCAGCATTGGCCAGGGGTCCTACAATGGGCAAACCCATGACCTGGACGGGGGCGTTGAAGAGAATTCTGCCCTGACTGCTCATGACCAGGTGGAGTTTTCCCGTTGTTGCAATGCAAGCAAGTTATTTGATGTGGGCCGTGTTTGCGTGTGTACGTTTGTGATATGTTTAACCCTGCGGGGTTACGTTGCCAACAGAGGGCAGTGGGCGGTGTGCAGAGGCCAGAATTCCAGGAATGGATGGCAAAGAGGCCTCACATGGCACGTGATGTGAATGTTTGTCCAGTCACAACCTCGCCGAGTCACACACTTTTGTTTTTATCAGAAAGATTCAGATTTTGGTTAGTTGGCCAATTCTTTTAATCATAATAGGTAAAAAATATATATCTAATGGAGTTTAACACATTTCATCCCATTGTGTCAAAGTAAAATTTATATAATTAATGCAACAAGACGATTATATTCATTGCACGTAATGCTTCACCCACGCCGGAAATTCGATGGAATTGTACAAATAGCTAAATTATTTTGTTCAGCTCCTTAGTCAAGGCACGATATAAATGAAAATAAGAGAAGATCAAGTAGCTTTTGTTTAGAGTTTATGCAGCCAACTTGGGCGGTGACTTGACCTAGGGGTTGCGTATTCGCAAGCCTGTTGCAGAAGGTTCCATGGTTGGAATCCAGCGGCCACCCTGCTTATTGCTGTGGGCGCAATCACCGTGTTGCTGCTCCCTGCCTGCTTGGCCGTGGACATCAAAAGATTCCCCCCGGTGTCGTTCGCAAAAGAGGAGGCCATTGTGTGCCGGTGTCATCGTGCAAATTTTGCCGAGTGTGGAAATTACCTGCAGATGGCTCGGTTGGGACTATGCATGGCAATAATCGCCCACTGCTGGCAGACTCGTGCCCCAGATGACTCTCGTAAATGAGACTCGCCTCGCCTCTTGAGTCTTCCCCTAGTTGAACAAAACGAACCTGATACTTGAACATCCATCCATGAGCGAGACACACCGCTGCCGCATGGCAGCGCGGAACACCTTGGCATCTTCCTCTCTCCGCTCGCCAAATTTTTCAGCTGAAGCCTCCTTCTTTGCTTGTGCGACAGAATGCAAATGCTCATGCCGCCTCCTACCAGGGCATGGAGAACCGGGGCTATGACGAGTGGAATGCAGCACAAGATCCGTCAACAGGTGAGAGCCAAACCACAGCCAGGGCTGCAGCACTTGAGGGCATTGAGGGCCCCTGAGCCATCATTCATAGGGGTTGCAAGTCCATTGGTGGAACAAAAAAATCTAAGTGCGCCCACAGATCGTGCAATGCGCTCCAATATGCGTTTGTCCTATGGAGTGTGTAATTGCTGGGGAGCTTTGGTGTCGTGATTGCGCACCGCGCTACGAACCCGGCGCTCGCAGCCGGTAACTCATGTAGGTGGCGAATATCCGAACCTTTACTGGGCAAATGGATTGGGGAATAAACACAAGTCAGAGACAATTATTTTTGAATAAGTACGCCACCGTAGACACGGCACACTGCGAGAAGCGATGATGGGCATACCGACGAGATTGGTAAAGTGAATAGCAGCCAAAGAAGAGAGGGCGTACCCCCACGGAGATGGAGCAATTATATCCGTTCGTGCACAGGAGTTAGAGGGATTGTGAAATTTTCCAGAATGAGGGATGGCGAAAGCGTGGGGACGTCTTCATCCAGCAGTGGGTAGACCATGTATGTCTTCTGATGAAGATAATGATAGTTGACCCCAACATCGATTAAAGGGACATACACTGCCATCGGATATTCCCACAAAGCGTCGAGTCATTGTGCGCACTCCCTGTGGCGAGATGGAGTGAAGCTAATGCAACGCATAGACACCCAAAGGGATTATGCAATAGACGGCACAAATTAGTCTCAGCTGGCATTGAGAGTAGTTCAACATAAGTGACATTCCATATCGTAAGTGGAGCAGCAAAGGAACGTGAACATTTTCTACGTTAGTAGGCGACGTTAGGTGACTGATATGTCGGCCGAATGGCTGAGAGGTTAGAGGGGAGAACCGGCACAGTTGAGTACCTGGGTTCAACTCCAGGCAGCTGCCCATGGTGAGTTCATGGTCTCAAATTGGTCACAAATGACTGCACAAAAAAACACCACGTTACATTTGGTTTGAATTCCTGCCCTGAGAATAATAATAAAAACAATTTGACTGTCATATGACGAACATTACTTTCATATGCTGAGCGGGAGAAAAAGAGGTCACTTAAAGGGATCTCAGAAGTAGCTCTGTAACATCCACTTCTGTGGCCCGTTCTCTAACACGAAGCGATACGTTGCCCTGTGACAGATCTGAATGGATTTTAACCTCATGACACGACGCGGATAGCACAATCGCGATAACATTTGGGGGAAATGACAAAAGATGATCAGAAAAAACCGCGTCCACCCATCCTCTCGGTGTCGTCCCCCACAGTACGAACTGGGGCCAATGATGACGCCTGGGAGGCCGAAGTCTGGGACGATGCGAGCGAATTCTCGCCCATCACCCCCGTAACCCCCCAGCCCGGCACCCTCTTTGCACCGGGGCAAGGGCAGCAGCAAGCGGAGGTGGCCGCTCCTGGGCCCTCCTCGCTCGTGCGGACCAACACCATGAGGAAAGGCCTGCAGAGGTGCCCGTTTCACTCATCGCCCAGGGGCAGCATTTGTTATTTACGGGAAACGGAGACTTTCGAGCTGCTTGGTTGTGGACTGAGATGCTGTCGCGGTGTCGTGGATGGCACGCTGGACTTGCAATTCGAAGTTTGCCGGTTTCATTGGATCTCCCGGTGCGCGACAGTTGAAGTGGTCGTCAGGTTTCTTAAATCTCCCCGCTCTTCTGTCCAACCGAGCAGTGTAAATGGGTACGGCACGCTTTCGTCAATTGGCAGGATTGCGTGTGGTGGGGTAAAGTGTGAGGACTCCCACCTGTTCCAAAACATTTGGCCGGCGAGGAAGAGTTGACAAAATATCCTCTCGTTCTACCTCGAATAGGGGCCCTTCCAGCAGCGATGTGAATGGGCAGTTGAGAAATGCTGCACCTTTACCACTGCACATTGGTGAACGTTGAACTTTTATTATTACTGCATTGTGCTTAAAATGTGGCGATATGTTAACTACCTCGCCTGGTATACAGGGGTCGTGGGTTTGATCGGGACCCTGACGATGCATATATATTTGGAGTTTGCGTGTCTCTTCCTGTGGTCGCATGGATTTTTCGCCGGGCCCTCCAGTTTTTCCCTCCACATTTAGAATTAACGTCACGTGTTTAGAGTATTCGCCTGCTATACATTTCCACGTGATAAGCCACTTCGTTCAGTCATCATTTGTGATAGTCAGGTCGCTTCTGAAAAAGAGCTATACAGCTCAGTGGGCCTTACCTGGCAAAATAAAAATGGTTTAGTTTAGAATTCCATGACATCACCTGCAGGCATTATTTGATGAGCAATAACGATGGACTGTAGTAGTCATAATATGAGTGCATCATTATTGAAATAGTAATGCAGTATAGTACATGGAGTATAAATAGTTATAGTGCATGCAGTGTTAATATATATATTTTTTATCAATCTGCATGCCAGTAAAATTAAAAGTTTTTGTGCAGTGTTCGTAAATGCATTTGGCCCGCTGAAAGCTTTCGTTATTTTCTGGTAGTTATGGTCCGCCGATTGGCTATTCAAATAGGTGGGGGAAATAGCTCTGCTCATGAATAAAATAACATTTTCCATCTCATTCCCTGCGTCCTCAATGTACTTACAGTATATAAAAAATGAAGGCCATCTTAATGTGTTTCACTCGAATTACATACTTTCTATAAAGTATATTTAAAAAAGAGAATTACATCTGGATTCCTAAACCCCTTTTACTAAAAGTAGCAGAATTCAGTTTGAAAAGCATACGATCCTATGCCAGAATTCACAATCGTGCTCCATGCCAGCCCTGCAGAAGTAGGTTTTAATTGAATCCTAATAAATCCAGTCTGGAGGTGACTGCATGGTTCAGGGGGCAAACATTGAGGCAAAGTACCCCGAGCACTGCTGAGAACCTGGGTTCGAATCCAGGTTTTGGCTATGCATAATGAAACCGGGTTCTTAAATGTACTGAATACTGTGGTCTCAGCCCAATCACCAACGGCAGAATTAGAAAAACGAATTCTGTTAAATCTTTATTTGAAGCTTTCGTGACTGCAGGAATCCATACTTTTTGGTTCTTTCGGTGAAGTCACAGAGGTCGAAAAAATAATAGATCGCGACATTTCAATCGCAACGCAGGCAATAGCTTCCGTTGCGATTGAAACGTCGCGATCTATTATCGAAACGTCGTGATATATTATCGAAATGTCGCGATCTATTATTTTTTCGACCTACGTAATTTTACCGAAAGAACCAAATAGCATAGATTCTGTTAAATTTGGTTTTCATATAATTCAGCTTATGCCAGCTCCGTGGACCGAAAACAAGTTTGAAGTTCATGATGATGCAATGCAATCCCCTATACCAGCGCATGCCAGAAGGTGCAGCGGCCCCCTAATATGGACAATAGTCAATTTAAGGACTCTGCGACATAGTTGTCTAACATCGCCTTCCATAAACCATAAACAAACATCGCAATGAAATGTAAAAAAAAGAAGACTCCAGCCATTCTCAAACTACCAGTGGATGAAGGCCTTCCCACGGCGTGTCGGTCTTGGGGGTTTGTGACCATTTGTGACGAAGTGGGGGGACAGCAGAGGACCGCTTCTGATATCGCCAAACAACCACTGCTGTGACACTGTCCACCCAAAAATAACAATTGTGACGCGTGAATAAAAAATCGTCAAATTAGAAATGTTTTTTTTAATATATATCTGCTTGTGGCAGTTGCGTATTGGCGAACACTCACAAGAGGCGTCTTGGTTCTCACTTCAGGTTTTCTATGTATGCCAAGCACGGCATGGACGGCTACCTGTCGGGGAAGGTCATTGTGAAGAACAAAGAGAGGATTCTCATTATGGTACGTTGTGTTCTGTTGTCCAACTTTCCTCATTGTTTGTGGGTATTCTTTTTTTTTTATAATGAGAATGTTCTACTTTAAAGCAGGCTGGGATCTTTTTTGGTTGAAAGAACTTTAGCCTCACAGAGTTTCCAAAGGGTGGGAAAACAAAACAAACAATCAGTCACCCAAAGCTGGAAGTTGGACAGAGAGGGGGGGGGGTAACTTAATCATGAGGGTCTCCTTGTTGAAAGTTCCAGCGGTTCAATGTGAAAACGACAACGTTCGTAGGACTTTCCCCAATGAATAAAACGCAGCGCCGTGCCCACAGAATTATTACATGTCAAGGGGCGGCAGTTGGAACGAGGCCTAACTTTAGCACGGCCACGTCTTCTGCCTGTACGGCAGTTAACACCGCAGACAAAAACTAATTGTGGGGCCATGTGGGAGACAGCCTGTGATTAAATCACCCAGATTGCACCCAATCTCGAAAGCTAAGTGGGATTTTTTTTTCCTGGATAAGGTGTGCATGGCCAAGCTCCATAACTTGGCTTTCTCAAGATCTGATGCTGATGGATGTAATCTCCAGCGGAACGTCGTGTAAAAGTGTCAATATGTTTTGCTTGCTTTGCAACATTCCTATTTTGCCCACGTGACAACTCGATCTGCCGGTGTTTCCCCTCCACATTTAGAAATACGCGTTTAGATTATTCGGCTGCCCATATAAATTCCCACACGCAATAAGGCACTTCGATGAATTATCATGTGCGGGTGAGGTCGCCTCTGCAAAAGAACTCATAGCCAAGTGGCCTTGACCTGGTAAAATAAAATGAGTTTAGTTTATATAAAAAGTGATGTCGTACCTACACGATCTAACCCAAAATAGTTAATTATGAATTTGGTGACGTAGGACTGCGTGGCAGTGTGGTGGGCAACAAAGGGCAGTGCAGAAAACCCCATTGTAGTTCTGTACTTCTATGTTCCCTGACTTCACACCTGGACTGAAGCAGAGTGTGGGGAGGCCTTCACCCAGCAGCCGATTTACAAACGGGCTGTTCACGTCGTAGTCATCATCGTTTATATTTCATGCCGCACCTCCCGTGCGGTACATCGAGTCACGGGAATAAATGGGGGTGGGCGGGGTGTTTGAGATCATTACACAGCGAGAGAGTGATTGCAGACCAAACCCAACATTCAAAACAACATGGTGCATCGCACATAACACACTTAAATTGTAGAGCTAAACTGTGTTCGAGACCCACTCGCTCTCTTTCTTTTGTTATTTGAGTTACGTGGGGCCACGATCATTGGGGACACAATTGGTGGGGCCACGATCGGTGGGGCCACGATCATTGGGCCCACGCTTGACCCACCACAGGACCCTCGCGCTACAATGCGATGTTGGTGCCACCTCCGCACTCCTCCTCACTTTCCCTCCGCGTCTCTCTCCCCCGCGCTCTCTTTCCGCCGCGTCTGCCGGCTTCAGGAAAGCGAGCTGGGTGCCGTGTGGGAATATCCGCCGCTGCCGCTCATCTGCATGGTGGACGACCCCACCAAGGGCTCCAAATTGCACGGGCTCAAGAGTTACATCGAGTACCGCCTCATCCCTAAGGTGCCTTTCCTGGGGTCCGGGTGATGGGGAGGTGGGAGGGGATGGCTGGGCACCTGGGGGGGGGGGGGGGTTGGCATGCGACCGATGACCGCAAGTTACGATGCAGTGACGTTTGTAATATTCACAACAGTGAAATTGATGAATGCTATGTTCATGATAATTATTCAGAATCTTTATTTATCATGGAGGAATCCGATGAGCTATTAAGCTCAGAGGTAGTAAAAATGTTGATAATTACGATGACATTGATTATTTCTATTTGATGGCAGTGGTGGTGGTGATGATGATTATTAAACTTGATGATAAAAATTTGTAATATTGCTAATTGGGATTAAATGGGAAACATTATATTTGGTTATTCATGACGATCAAAGGCAATATTGATAATATTGATGGCAATTGATGATTGGTTTGTTGATTTGTAAACTTGAAGAGGAGACATTGCTTGTAATGTGGATGTGTGTGATTTGCTGCCTGCATGGCACAAAACTGATTTTAAAGAAGATCATTAGTAATTTATTATGTTTCATAAACTTAAAGAGGATAACGATGGTGATAATGATCGAGGGGAGGCATACTGTACATAACGTGTTATTTGACAGGTGCCTGTAGGTACACTCTGATGATGTTGCTGGTGATGAAATAATAATAATTGGTGATGCTGATTTTAAACTTCACGAGGATACTGTTTGCGGCATGGACATGTGTGACTGGTGTTAGCAGGACATGCTAAGCGATCATAATGACGATGACGGTGATCATTAACTCGGAATGGAGGAGGGTTTGCATGAACGCTCATTAGCCGCCCTCTCTTCCAGGTTTCCCTGATTAGGTCGGTCATACTTCCCCCTCCCCGGGTGTCCCCTCCCCAATTAATCTTTCATCTTCTCCCTCGATGTGGTGCCCTCCCAACTTGGCCGAGGCAGTGGCGGCGGGGGGTGCGGGCTCCCCCCCCCCCCCACCACTCTCCTTCATGTGGGTCCACTTGCGTCGGGGACCATTTTCCGTGATCCGTGCCGTATCGGTGCTCGCGTTATGTAGCAATGAAATCAACAACGACAACAAGATGATGATGATGGGGATGGGTTTGTGATGTGGCCATGCGTGATGCTTGCTCACAGGACACACTGTGCCCTGTGAGCCACCGCTACAAGCACTTCGACTGGCTGCACGAGCGTCTGGTGAACAAGTTCGGAGTCTCGATCCCCATCGCTCCTCTGCCCGAGAAGCAGATGGCAGGTCTGGCACACGCGCCACCGCGCACACACACACACAAAGTACAGACAAAGATCCTCCCCCATTGCCTTAGCAGACTGTTGGGGCTGTTAGCGAGCATCTATGAAGGCCGGCGCAGCACATAAGGGGGTGGGTGGCCAGCACCTCGCCCGGGCCACCTTTGTCTTCGCATTGCTGATGCTCACACATCATACCAAGTACTCATTTAAAGCTGAGTCGACCTAGGGGAGGCCGAGGACCATTTCAGATATTCATCGCTGTTTTTTGTCGTGAGCTGGAATCGAACATGGCTCGCCGGGTTCGTAGCGCAGCGCACTACCCACTGCGCCACCGCTCTCCGTGCACATGTGGAACATGCACACGTGTGTAGTGTTCAACACACGTGTGGTGTTCAACACGGAGATACACTCTGGACTGGGAGGCAACACTTTTATTTAACAACTTCCCTAGCGGGTAACACTGAACGTAACTCGGGTTCTATAGTAGGTGATGTGGCTCACTACGTGAGTAGCGAGTTAATTCGAGACGAAGACCCGGAGACGACGAGACGAGGGACCCAGGCTTGATTCCACCGACGAGCCAAGAACGCTCTCAGGACTGACCCTTGATGCTCCTGGGCGTGGCCTCGCTCCGACTTCGGCCACGCCCCCTTCGAGACCTTTCCCGAAGGATCTCGAACCAGCATCACGTGCCCCACTCAGGCTACCACGTCCTCCCTTGCCATCTCTCTCAGGCCATCGCTAGGACTATGCCCCCTAGGGCTGGCTAACATGCCGTACTTACTCTGGTGCTAGAGAAAGGCTCCAGACGCGCGGTTGCACTCCTGTAACAGTAGCTGGCACGAAGCAAATGAGCACACGCAACATTTGCTTGGAAACACACACACACGCTTATGCATGTACGTGGAACGGAGCCAACCGTGCTAATCGCTTACTTGCATGTGCGTCAAAAACAAACGGACACACGAAACGCACGCTTGCACGTGAATGCGTGCGTTTGTTATGAACAACACCCGCGCGAGCGCTGCATCCGAATGCTTTCGCCCACCCGACCCGACAACATGTTCCCTGACCCCCCCCCCCGCCAGCACAATATCGGATCGTCGGAGCGAATGAGCAGTGCGCGTGTCAGGTTTAACGTTGCCACGGCGTGCTCCGGCCACCACGACGGTGAGCCGCTGACGGTGGCACCGGCGTTGTGAAATGGAATAAAGGTTGGCTCTGGGCACTAATTAACGTGTACAGGGACTCCTCTACTTGCGAACTTCCAGAGATACGAACAAACCTGTCCCTATGTCCAGTTACCTGCTCGGACCGAGGGTCATAAGTTCAACCGCCGTGCAATAGATGGCGGTGGTGGTGGTACCTACACCTGCATCACATGAAGAACCGGTGGCATCTACATCTACAGGAGATTATGCAACTTTTAAATCCATTCGCCGTGTTTAGTGTACACGCCGTGCAACATGTTTGGGTCGACGGGAGTAAAGTTTTACTTAAGAACAAGTCGTCTTACAAACAAGTCGACTTTAATACAAACAGACCTCTGGAACCGAACTCGTTCGTAAGTAGAGGAGTCCCCGTAGAGCCGCCCTCCACCACCCGAATAGGGGTCTCATTAAAGCTGTGCCGCTCGTTGTCTGTGATCGTTAATTAAATTACAAAAACCGCGTGCTACGTGCCCCCCCCCACTCCACCGCGTCACCGCCACGTGCCGTATAACAATACTCGTGACGTCAGTAAGTTACCCAGGAATGCCTCGTCGAGTCACAGAGCTCTCTGTCTTTAAGGAGGGTCACGCATCGGGATGTTTGACCTATCCCATTAACCAGGGGCGGTGCCAGGATTTTGACTTTGGGGGGGCTGACTTCAATATTCTGAGATATCCAGTGTGTATGTTTTCCAATGGGCGCCACAAATGTATAAAACAAGTTTTATTGGATTTGAACGCGGAGTTTATTAATAGGTCGGAGCCGCTGATGTGGCTAATAAGTTCGATAAGTTCGAAAGGCTGCCGCTCAAGCAGCCTGCAGGGCAGCACACAAGGTGGCAGCACAAGGTGGCAGCCTGCAGGGCAGCACAAGGTGGCAGCCTACAGGGCAGCACAAGGTGGCAGCCTGCAGCATTTTGCAGCAGCCGGATATCCGGTTATTCCGATTAGCGACTTTCCCAATATTTCAGGGGGGGCTGAGCCCCCCCCAGCCCCCCCTGTGGCTCCGCCCATGCAATTAACATACATCTTGGTTACTTCTGTCACTGCGAGAGGCACTCGTGGTGACAGAAGTGTCCAGGTGAATCTACTTGCTGTTATGCCGTCTTCTCGCCACCTTGTAGCCGAGGCCGGTTTGTCATGTGCGCTACATTTGCAGTCCTTTTGTCAATCCACTGCTGGATGAGGGCCACCCAATGCCGTTGCGGCGGTTATTGTGGAGGTGATTTCACCGTACTTCACCTCGCTCGTCAGTGCGAATTAGTGAAGGTGGGTGCGTAAACATTGCGGTGTAGTGCAGTGCACCATTTCATTTTGCTCCACTGCCCTCTGCTGCCAATGTAGTCCGGATTTCTTAGTTTTTGCTCATCAAACCAACACCATACCTCCAAGGTAGCCGAATGTCTGTCACACGGCCTGCATGCGTGGTGCGGTGCCACCTCGCGTTGCCTCGTGTGCCATCTCATGCGTGTGCCACCTCTAAACTAAACTATTTTTTAATTTTGCCAGGTGTAAGGCTCTTTTTCAGAAGTTACCTAGCCACGAATGATAGCTCAACGAAGTGGCTTATCGCGTGGAAATTTATAGAGGCCAAATGCTCTAAACGCACGTTTCTAAGTGTGGAGGGGAAAAAAAACGGAGGACTCGGAGAAAAATCCACGCGACCACGGGGGAGAACACGCAGACTCCAAATATATAGGCGTCAGGGTCCGGGATCGAACCCACGACCTCATGTATGCCAGGCGAGGTAGTTAACATCACGGCGTTCCTCCCTGCGTGTGCCGGCTGGGTTCTCGCGCGTTCCCCCCCCCCACCCAAAGGCCGCTTCGAGCACGAGTTCATCCAACTGCGCAAGGAGCGTCTCCAGGCCTGGCTCAACCGCATCTGCCGCCACCCTGTGATATCCCAGAGCGAGGTCTTCCAGCACTTTCTGAGATTCACCGATGAAAAGGCGAGTCTCACAACTCGAGCAAAGGCGGGTGGTCCTGTCGAGCTGTAGCCATCGAACCAAGACGTCGCGTCACGTCGCGCGCTTGAAGATGCGCTTATGCGGCCGTCTGGAATGCTCGTCCGGTATTAAATCTAGATCGAAAACTCATTTCTTCAGAAATGAGTTTCGTGTTTAGTTTGTTTGTCCTTCACCCCGCACCTTTGGTTAGCTTGTTTGGCTATGTACGGTTGCGAAAGAAGTTCAACATACATACCTACATGCATACAACATACATATGTAACGAGTTCTGCGACGGCCCTGCTGCATCCTGTATCTCATACTGTAGAGGCAGCCGTCTGGCTTTTGGCGCTGTACCTGGACATCAACTTTGTTCTTCTGCGATGTTAATGTATTTACTAAAGAGCATATTGAATGTGTCCAATCTCATCAGATCGTGCAAACTAAGTTTGGGTTGAGCCTGGACAGTGTTTGGATGGGTGACCACCACACTGTGTTGTGGAGTCAATTGGCGACCAGGTTGAGAACGATCAACTTCTCTACCCTCGTGTAATCACTGGTGGTCACTCTTGATTCGAACCCAGAATCTCAGCGCCGGTGCTGACTGAGTGATCTGACCCCTGTGCCAGCAGACCACTTCCTGGACGGACAGAAACCCAAGCAGACAGACCCTGGCTTGCGGCTCTGCCGGCTCGGCGTGACGATGTGATTCTATACTCGCGTGTAGCGGTCATGTTTAGGAGCTAAATGCAGATTTCGAGGTCTGATAGCCACGACAAGAGAGCTTCAGGAGAGGGTTCGTGTAGTTTTACTCCTCCCCCCTACTCCTCCTCCTCCATTGAAGGCGCACAGACCACAGTGGTATGGTCCATAGGTGGGAGATGGTCGCCTTTTCACGGTTGCCCACGTTTGTGTTTTCATGTCACCTTAAACACAGCCATAACACCGTCATCTAGGGCGAAAATGGACGTCATTAATTTCAATCCAGATGATGTATGAATGTTGAACTTCGTTCGCACCGCACTTAGCCGACCGTGCTAATCGGATGATCTCTCTGCTCAGGCTTGGAAGACTGGCAAGCGGCGAGCGGAGAAGGATGAGGCTGTCGGTGCCGCGCTCTTCTCCATGGTGGACACCCCGCCTGACGAGATCACGCTGATCGCCACGTCCGTATACCCTCAGCTTCGTGTTCTTTTTTTACTTACTGCTGCTACTACTTACCCTTGAAATGTCGTGGCGCCGATGTCTGCCCTGGTCGCCGCGTCAGAGGTCGTGTCGCAAGGGCAGGAGACGTTCCTTCTTTTTATTTTGTATTTGATTAAAGTTCTTTATTAATCTATATATTAAAAAAATGTTTTACGTAGAAAGTGTTTTTATTGAGGTACGCACACAAGTTCCGGTACAACGTGCCGAGGATTTCTGGGGAGGGGTCGGGGCAGAAAAACTGCGGCAGGGGGAATGGGGGAGCTCTCCAGCGCTTGGGCGAGTCGAGGAGCAGGGAGAACAACATTGCTCGATGCTCCCCACCGAGTTTGTTGGCATGGAACCTCGAGCAAGGAATGAAATGGGGGGGGGGGGGGTCCCTGACCAACGAAACCAGTGCCTGCTCCCTCCCACACCCCCTCTGGCCCATGGACTCCTGTGCAGCTGCACCAGCCTGCGCTCTGAGTCACTTCTAGAGGCGTGACCAGCCTGACCCAGCATGGCACGCCCCCTTTCTTGCTAAAGAGAGCTTTGCCACGTGCCAGTTCTTTGGCGTTTACATGTTACATTTCAGTTCTCAGAGCTAAAAAGAGGGTGTATATTTACTGTAGACGGGTCCAAGGTAATGGAGTTCCAAGAGCAATGCAGACAAATAATACACAGTACTGCAATGAAACGGGCTAGTTTAAAACATTGCACCAAGCTGCTCTGTATAAACATAAAAAATGCCACAAAACGCGAACTGATGCTCATATTAAGCATCATAATTGTAGGTTCTGTGTTCCATGCTGGAATCACATTACCGTGGAATAGATGATGCTATGATTTGTGTTTGACAGTTATTGGCGAACCAGGCTGAGATTATCACCGCACACTTTTATTTTTTGCATTGTTTTGTCATCGTTGGCTGCCTGCGTTCCGACCCCCAAGTCCTTGGGTGATGCACGGGCCCTAACGCTCTTAACTTCTGCGTTGTATAAGCAGCTCCCGTTGGGCCACGAGCCGCATATAATTGAGTAAACTTTTTAATTGAAAATGCGTGGGGAAACAGAGAGAGGGCGGGCGGGCGGTGCTCAGAGGCGCCGTTTGTTTTGTATTGCAGGGAGCAGACCCTCGAGACGTTCGGGAGGTTCGTGAAGGCCATGGATGAAACCACCAAGACGGTGTTGTCTGTTGGGCAGGACCACTGGAAGACCTGCAGCACAAGTGTGTGAATGCATATTGCGGCGTCACACTCGTCGGAAGCGTGTGATTGCATACTGTGTACAATACAATGTCACATATTAGACTCTGTGGGCATTGAGGTCAAGGCGGATATGTACAAAGATTGGCTACTTGAGTATATATATAAATGTACAGTCACACCGTGCGCAGTTCGGTCACCGGGAAAAAAATGAAGCACAAACTGCATTAAATATAGGGGAAAGCTTTACTCTGCTTGAGAAGTAAGCGAATGTACAGGAGATTAAGAATACCATGTGTGGAAAGGTCACAATGCACAAATGCTGCACTGGATGCGAGCAGTTAATTGGTCAGAGCACGTTTGTAAAAGTCAGATATACGATCTTGTACTGTGCTCACAACTGGAATACCTGCACGACAAGCGTGTTATTCGTGGGAATTGTCACACTCGCATACAAATCCACTCACCCACGGACAACCCATGTAGTGGAGGGAATGATCATTTTAACAAATTCCTGCGGAGGGAGCTGGTAGGAACGTTGAGTTGCTCGGTCAATGGCCAGGGTCAACGGCGGCACCACGTGGTGTATTCAGCACAATATGCCCGACTGTGTGGGCGGGCACAAGCCGGCGTGAGTAGGTTAAACGTTGAGTTTTATAAGGGCACCACGGGGTGACAGCCCCTCCCCACCCATCCCCACCCCTCCTCACCCAGCCCCACCCCTCCCCACCCAGCCCCTCCCCACCCAGCCCCACCCTCCCCACCCAGCCCCTCCTCACCCTCCCCTCCCCACCCAGCCCCACCCCTCCCATTTTTGGATGCACGACGGACGGACACAATAATCCCCTGTGGGCTGGTGTAACCAGAGGTTCCTACGAGTAATATGGTCTGCACGGATGGATTCACGAACTTTCTTTTTCTCTACTGCCATCTGCTGGCCACCGTGCACTTCCCAGTCGGTTTGGAAGTAAAATAAGTAATATTTTAAAAAAACGTTTTTTAAAACACGCTTTCATGAAATGTACTAGTAATGGAAGAACTCCACGACTCCAGGAAGTGGCCCCGAAGCTTGCCATAACGTAAGGGACCGTGGCCAATTACAGCCAACGTCAGTTGACCGTGGACAATTAGACCCAAGCCGAAACATAACATATAAAAAATAATGTTTAAAAATATATTTCTTTATTTTTTTTATGATAGAATATAGTATTGACATCAGTATGACATATGTATACCAAGTTTGCAGTTGATACCACATTAGGATGTGGGTTAAAATTGAGTTACACGATTTGAGGTCACAACAACAACAGAGTTAAATGAAAGCGTGTAATAAAAAGCCCCGTGTGATCCAACAACCCCCGTGGCTCCCAAAAGCTCAGCTGGATCGTAGGCATGCGACACTTCGCCCAGCGTGATAGCAACAAGGGGCGGGATCTCAATGTGTCCCTGTGACGTCTCGGGCCCCGCAGTGACGCCGCCCGCTTGCTCGCTCGCTCGCTCGTGTGTTTCAGCCCTGTCCAAGGAGCTGCAGAGGTTCGGCAAATCGCTCGGTGACCTTTCGGATGCTTTCAAGGCCAGCGCCTACACGGGTACGTAAGACGGCACTCTCCCCAGCCCCAAGGTGCACCGTCGATCCCGTTTCTGCCCAGCAATGTTGCAGCCCTCTCTAGCTTACCAATAGAATCGCTGTGTTCCCATGGCCCATTGGTGAAGCAGACCCAAGCTGTGTACCGAACCATTATTTCGAATGTGATGGCACGGCTCGATTTTTTTTTGTCCAAACGCTTATAGAGGTGCGCACGTCTGGTGTCTCGGCAACTAAAAAGCCCCAAGTCACAATCACAACTCCACCCACCCTCCCCTCCTTTTCGCTCAGTGGCAGTAAGGAAACAATCCGAGAGATATGGTATATATTTTGAATAAGCGTCAAAGCATCCCGTGGTTAGGTTACCATCCCGAGCCAAGAGAGAGAGATATATGTTTTTTTTCTTTCCACCATATTTATTCACAACACAACCCTGGAATTTTACTGAACCAAGGAGACGCCATTAAACGTGCGTCTCCATTCAGTGTTGGCCTCACGACGATGGTCCAGGCAAAGGTTTATTGCTCCCTTAGGAGAGGGAGTCATATGGCCCACTAAACAAGAGCCACGTGGCCCGCTAAACAAGAGCCACGTGGCCCACTAAACAAGAGCCACGTGGCCCACTAAACAATAACCACGTGTTCCACTAAGCAATAACCACGTGGCCCACTAAACAATAACCACGTGTTCCACTAAACAAGAGCCACGTGGCCCACTAAACAAGAACCACGTGGCCCACTAAACAATAACCACGTGTTCCACTAAACATTAACCACGTGTTCCACTAAACAATAACCACGTGGCCCACTAAACAATAACCACGTGTTCCACTAAGCAAGAACCACGTGGCCCACTAAACAATAACCACGTGTTCCACTAAACAAGAACCACGTGGCCCACTAAACAAGAACCACGTGGCCCACTAAACAAGAACCACGTGGCCCACTAAACAAGAGCCACGTGGCCCACTAAACAAGAACCACGTGGCCCACTAAACAAGAGCCACGTGGCCCACTAAACAAGAACCACGTGGCCCACTAAACAAGAACCACGTGGCCCTCTAAACAAGAGCCACGTGACCCACTAAACAAGAGCCACATGTCCCTGTCCATACTGGCATTGCCCGGTAAGGCTGCCGTTTGAGTCTGGATCGAGCCCCGCTTGTCCGATTCAGTGAAGCAGACAGCTCGCCTCCCAGTAGCCATGGCAACGTGGCATCGTTATTTGTAGTGTATGTTGTAACTTTCTGACCCGCCCCTGCTGGACATCTGTGATAAAAAAAAAGAGTTTCATAGCTTATCGGATTTCGTTCAGGATAAATACAAATTCTGATTCTGAAATGTAGTAAAATGTTAAAGCCAAGCAATTCATGGCCTTTTTGCCAGTGAGGCTTCTGTTTCTCACTCACTAAAGATCACCCAAGTGCAGGCCTTGCATCAGCCTGATGCCTGCTGCGCGTGTACATTGTCGATCCCTGCACCCACATCGTACGGAGCCAGGTGTGGCTCATTTCACATTCAGCGAGCCTCCTGTTGCCGGTGTCAGCGTCGCCGGCGGTGGCGGAGCGTGGTTGGCATGGACCCCGGTGCGAGGAATTAAATGGGGTGTGGGGGGCAGGGAGTCCCCGCCTGCCCCCCCCCCACTGTCCAATTTGTGGGACCCCGATGCAGTTGCACGGCCTGCATCGCCTCTTTTGTTTTGATCACTCGGAGCCTAATATGGGCAAAGATTCCCCGTTTAGCCTAATGGACGTATTGGGGAAAGAGCTGTCAGCAGGCACCAATTAAGACTGGTGTGTCTTAATAGGTGCTCAGATAGTGTGGCTAGAGGCATGCCAGGCCATACGTGCCAAGAACCATTCCATGGCACCTTTGTATGTTGAACTTCTTTTGCACCGTACGTAGCCAACCGCGCTAATCGGAGGCGCAGGGGGGGGGGGGGTTGGTATAAACAAATAAAACACAAAAAGCTGTTTGTCCCATATGAAATCTGGAGTATTCTTGCCAATAACATCTGGTAATCCACCAGTAATTTGTTTAGCAAGCCTCACTGCTGATGAGACCCAAAAGGTGGAAACGGACCAGAGTTTGCTGTTGCTTGATAATTTGTCTGGAAAGCCAATTAGGTTTATGGAGTAAAACTTTATAGAATATGTGTATTCTGAGGGACAAAAGTGGAGTTCTGTTTATATTTACTTTTACCAACGATGCTCCCACAGCTACTCATGGGTTATTTTACAGACCACCCTCGGATTTCCAGCACCGTTCTTTACGCATCACACCAGGTGCAAACCAATGTGCTCCTGTAATTGTAATGCAGCTGCTGCTTTCTTGCCAACTTCCGGCCGTGCCTGTGCTAAACAATGCCTCATTAATGTCTGCGCTGCAGGGGAAGATCCAACCCTGACAGATGCGTTGAGCAAAGCCAGCCAGACGTACGACGAAATCGCGACTATTGTCATGGAGCAGGTGAGTGAGTGCGCGCGCGTGTGTGTGTGTGTGTGCATGTGCGGGTGAGTGGCTGGGTGAGTGTGTGTGTGTGGGGAGCGGTAATTTGGTGGTTAGCGCTACGCTGCGCTACAATTCCCGTTGACGGCCACCACCAGTGACGATTATTTGAACCGATCCCGGGCCTCCCCTAGGTCGACTCAGCCTCAAATGAGTACCTGGTGCGGTGTGTAAACATCGCCACTCGGGAGACAAAGGCGGCCGGGCGTGGTTTTGGCTACCCATCCCCATCGTGTTCCCGTACCGGCCTTCATAGGTGCTCGCTAACGACACTTGCCCCAACAGTCTGCTGAGGCTATACGGGGGATCTTTGTCTTTGGATGGGTGGCTGGGTGAATGCGTCTGTGCGGAGAGTGGTAGTTTGGCAGTTAGTGCGCTGCGTTACCAACCCGGCGAGCTGAGTTCGATTTCCGCTCACTGCCAACACCTGTGACGATTATCTAAACCGGTCCTGGGCCTCCCCGAGGTCGACTCAGCCTCAAATGAGTACCTGGTGCAGTGTGTAAACATCGCCCACTGGGGAGACAAAGGCGGCCGCGAGTGGTGCTGGCCACCCACTTCCTCGTGTACCGTTCCGACCTTCATAGGTGCTTGCAAACAGCACTTGCCCCAAAAAGTCTGTTAAAGCTATAAGGGGTATATTTGTTTTTGTCTTTGCGCACTTGTCAAAACTGGGTCAGAGAATCGCGCTAGTTTTAACCCTACTGCTGTAAGAGTGCTTCCCCATGCCGTGTGGGTTATGGGGGTTACATGGCCATACTTCACCACGCTGGTCAGTGCAGGTTGGTGGTGGACAGCATAGACGTTGGAGCAAGGTAAAGCACAATGGATCTTTATGCACTGCCCCCTGCTGATAATGTGCCCATGCAGCAGGGTAAAATACCTGCATGGCGGTCTCTCACCCACTCGCCAGGCTCAAGCCTGCTAAATTGAAAACTCATTTCTTGAGAACTGCTTTTGTGTTTAATTTGTTGCCCTTCCCCTGCACCTCTGATGAGTACGGTTGGCTACGTACGGTGCGAAAGAAGTTCAACATACATACATAGATCTAATGTTTTGATTTTATAATCGACAAACTAAAATTATAATTGTTCCTATTTACCGAGGAAAGCCTTGCCGAGTCTCGAGATTAATTTTCACGAGAGGTCCGACTATTTTGCCGTTACATTTGAATGAGTGTTTTGCATGTGGCTGGAAACCCATAACAAAGGCAGGCATACAGAGGGATTTACACTGGATAGAGCCGCACAGACTGGCCAGAATCCACTGGGTTTACTGCCATCTCCTTGTCATCTCGTAACCCGGCAAGGTCTTACCGTGTTGTCTCCCTCTCCCCGTTCAAGTCCAGACTCAAGACCTTCCTCTCCTCCTCTGCCTGTGACCGCTTCTCTCCCTCCCTTCTCTCTACAGAATCACCACGGCCACCAAAATTCGTTTAGTTCTTCTGCCTCTAGACTCACCGTCTCTCTTTCCCTCTATGAAATAGAGACGTCGACTGTTGTCTGGTCTTGGGATGCGGTCGCATTTAGGTTGTAGAACAAAAATGAAAGACGCAGCCCAGAAATGGCTACTATTGGAGGAAGGGCCTGCACTAGAGCGAGCTATAGAGATGGAATTTGGCCTATTTTTCCACACGGGCATTACATGTTGGAAGAGGTGAGAGCACCCATACTTTGCTCTGCGACACACTACTTGCCGATCGGCTGCTGTGTACAGTACCTATTTATATATCACTGGGTGGACAGAGGTGCGTGGATTTAATAAACATTGTCCCGTTGTTTTCACTCCCGTACCGGAAGTGCAAACCACCAATCACCGGATTGCAATTCCATTTTGTTAACCAGGACGTCATGTCAGCTCGGTTGCAAATAGACGCCATAACACATTCCTGCGATCAATGGCCAGGGTCAACGGCGGCGTGGTGTATTCCGCAAATATGCCCAACTGTGAGGGCGGGCACAAGCCGGCGTGAGTAGGTTAAACGTTGAGTTTTATAAGGGCACCACGGGGTGACCAGCCCCTCCCCACCCAGCTCCACCCCTCCCACCCCCCACCCAGCCCCACCCTCCCCATCCAGCCCCTCCCTCCTCACCCAGCCCCTCCCCATCCTCCCCTCTCCACCCAGCCCCACCCGTCCCATTTTTGGATGCACGATGGACGGGACACAATAATCCCCTGTGGGCTGGTGTAACCAGAGGTTCCTACCAGTATTAATCCATATTGTATTGTGTTGAGAATCATGATGTCTGTTTCACTCCTGAAGTCTTGCAGTCTTCACTTGCAGCACTTCAAGCACGAAAAAAACATCGCTCTGACAATCCCACACCCAGAAATTGCTTTGATGCCACAGTTGTTCATTCTTACAGAGAGTCACATTGGTTAATTACTTTGATGGCAATTATAGTAAGAACACAGTTCTAAAATTAAAGAATTGACAGGCGACATACCTTTGTGAAGAAACTGTTAAACAGCGCCTGTTGGAAATTACGATATTTTTAAAACATAATCTGCTCACGGCTTGAGATGGTAGAGTGTTGCACAAATGTAAATGCGTTCATTAAAATAACCACCGCTGTGAATGCCTTAAAAAAAAAATAAGACACCAAGTTTTCAGACGCGGGATCTTTGCACGCCACTTAAGCAAAACAATACTGTTTGGATTTATACGGCGTCTCAGTGAAGCTGCTCGTGTGTGTCCTCTTTGTGCAGTGTTTGTGCATTCACCAGTGTTCTCCATTCACGTGCAAATTCGGCGTCGGCGTAAAATTCGCACACACCGTTTGATTGGGAAATGTGAACAAGATGGACTTGAGGAGCGTGACTGGAGTTTGAGAAGCACCGGTTCAGGCGATATATCGGTTCAGAAAAGGTGGAGTGAACCACACCGCTGTTCTACCCTTGCTGCTGCCCCGGAATCTAAGTGATGTCCACCGTGCTGCCACCTCCGTCATTGCCCGCCTCGCCTACTTGTGCCCTTCCCCTTTGTGCGGCAGCCAAAGAACGACTGGCACTACCTGATGGAATGCAACCTGGAGTACAAGGGCATACTGGCGTGCTTCCCCGACATTCTGGCCACGCACAAGGTCCGCGCCCGTTCTACAACCCCCCCCCCCCCCTCCCACAGAAGTGCCGCAAACTCCGGAATTGAAAAGAGAATCAGAAGTGAAAAGGAGGTGGAGAGAAGGAGGCCAGCGTAGCTACATGGCCAGGGTTCACTGTAGGACTAAGCCAAGGACTATGGTTAGAATTGTTTTAATTGGCGAGTGCAAGACCCAGCAACAAAAATCTGTTCATCAACTGACGACAAGATAAAATAATGTGCGACCGTTCCATTTTTAAAATTATTTTTATTAACGCTTTTCAACTAAGGTTGAAAGCGCCGTGAATACATTAGCTCCGTCCTTCTGTCTGTTAGCAGCATGGTCATGACAACTGCGGTCAAGAGGGATCCGATTTGAAATTGATCGTTTTACATGGCCCACATCCTACATCAGTGCAGACATGGTGACTGCCACAATTTTATCGTAATTTGGATCCTTTTGCTATCATCCCACAAGCTCGGTTTTGCTGTGATATAGTCCACCAGGGGCCCCACAACTCCACTGCTAGTGCCTATCAGATGAATCTCGTTAGCCGAAGTTCGTAAGGGTTACTTAACTGCTGCCCATCATTCAGTGTTGAGCCGGGCCATGCAGACATCGCACGTGGCCAGACAGACATCATCACTCTTTTGAGTATTTACCATCACGTTTCTAAATTGTTAGCCAATGACCTTTGCCAACCCAGCATTGTTAGTTTAACAGGATGCACTGCTGATGACACAAAGACAGTCAAAACCAGTCCGGGGTTTGTCCGCTGAAACACACACGACTGGAAAACATGGGTTCAGAAGGTCTATCTGCTGGTGAACCTCACATTTGATTTCATTTCGTTTTTTTTTACGTGGTGAGACAGACCCTTATTTGTTTACATTTTTTAATCAAAAATCGTATTAGCCATTCAAGTGGACAGCACTGTGCTACTACTTGGGCTAACTAACACAATTATCTCTGGCGCCGTTAATTTGGTAAAGCGCTAACGATGTCCGGTGTGTGCGTGTGTGTCACAGGGAGCAGTGGACAAGCTGAAGGAATGCGACAAACTCATCAGCACCAGCAAAATGTCTGTCCAGGAGAAGCAGGCGATCACCACTCGAGTCTCCGTCATGTCCTACGTGATTCAAGGTGTGACCCCGGGCCTGCGTAGGCTGCGTCTGCCTTGAGAGTCTGATGCCCTTGTACGCGATGTACCTCGCAACCGATCCGAGTCTCGGTCTCCCTTCTGGGATCACGCTGCTCTCGCCATTCGAGAATATCACCCAGATCCAGAAGAATGCTGTCGGACAAAGTGGAGCATAGACGTCCTGAATAAAAAAAAAAAAATCCTAAATCGAGACCCAAACATCGCACCTCCTGGCTTTGACATTCCTCGAAGACACTGGTGTAACCATCAGCCACATCAGAACAAGACAAGCCACAATGCGATTGTGGTCATGTAACCTAAACTTTGCACCGTAAGGTAAACAGATGTAGTCTGCGCTCCTTCAATGGAGGCGTAGCAATACTACGTGGATTCTCTTCTTCAGCCTCTAGTGGCTCGCACACCTCGACAGTGGCGTCTAGCTCCTGAACATATTTCCATACGCAAGAGCTAAAATACACAACGTATCTGTAATAATTATTATTCTTATTCACAACAGCGCTTTGTCAACCCACTGCTCGATTATAGCCTCCCCCACACCGTGTCGGTCATGAGTGCTGTTTACCATAACTTGACCACGCTTGTCAGTGTGGGTTGTTGAAGAGGCTCCCAAGCATAAGGAAGCGAAACGTGAGACGTGGTGCCGAATAGTACGCGGTACAACCCGAAAACACATCATGGAGCTTTACAGCATATCCGCGAAAAAAAACACGACGTAGTAGCCGTAGAAGCATTCGTCCTCGCTGGCTTTGACGTGAGGTTGTTTCAACTCTTTCCCCACATGGGCTGTGTGCAGCGGAGGCAAACCACTTCCACTACGGGCGGATTTACGACTACAGGCAGGCGATGAAAGTCTTCCTCGCCGAGCAGATCGGATTCTACCAGAAGGTGGGACGCCCGCCAGCACGTGGGGGCGTGGGGCGTGTGTGGTCCGCGGGGCGAGCGCAGGTCGTGAGTTTTTGCCGAGCGACACGGGAGAGACTGTGAGGCCCACAATTCTTAGACTGGCTTGGCTCTCGCTCGTGTGAGCCGGCTCAGAAGCCACGTTAAAACTTGAGCCGCATCGGAGCGTGGGCCCGGCCACGCTCAGGATTTCCATGAGTTGAGCCTGAGCCACGCCACGGTTAAAGCCTCTTCCGTGTTTTCAGAAGCAACTCAGGCCCAAGCTGAGCCCTATTAGAGACCAAGCCACAGCTGAGCCATTACTAACAATAGGGCTCTGAAAGTATACGTGTATTTTGCATGAGTGAGTGTGAGTGCAGTGTATATTAACATTCTACAGTTTGGCGGAGTGACTGAGTGTTTGAGTGCATTGTTTATTAATGGAGTTTTGTGCATTGCGTATTGATGGGTTCGGTGAGCATGTTAATTTGTGGTCTCTGAGGTCGTGTGAGTGCAAGTTCAGTGTGGGGTTCCAGTTGCACAGCAGTTAGCGTGCTGCCCTATGAACCAGGCGACCTGAGTTCAATTCCGCTTATGACCAGCACCAATGATGACTATCTGAATGGGTGCTGGCTACCCACGCCCTCGTGTGCCGTGCCGGCCTTCATAGGTGCTCGCTAACAGCAATTGCCCCAAAAGTCCGTTAAGGGGGGATCTTTGTCATTTTTGTCTTTTGTGAGAGTGTGCTAGTGTGTGTTAGTGTGTGTCAGAGTGTACATGTGGGTGTAAGTGAGGCTGTGTGTGAAACTGGGGCTGAGTGTGAGGCGGTGAGAACCGAGAGCTCATATATGTACACACTGTGCCTACGTTGCTACAGTACCGTGTATGTGCTCAGTGATTTAATTACCAGCATGACCTGAGCCCCCTGACGGATGCAGATGAATTTCAGCTGATTTATATTTACAGTCTTTTATCAAGATGAATTTTTTTTCCCCTCAAATTATACTTTTATGAATAGCTGCTATTTGGAGATTCCTTAAGAATAAATAAATAAACAATTTCATTTAAAGCTTTCGTGACTGCTAGGATTCATCAATGAAGCTCTGTCGTCCCGACAGGTCTGTGCCTTTCACCTGAAGACGGCCGCTTGCGTTGTGGCCGAAACGTCGTGAGAATTTTATTGTGTTATTTTATTAGTTTATTCTCATTCTACGTGACCTTACCGAAAGAACCAAAGAAGATAAATAAACAATGTTAAGCAACTGCATTTGCAATCGCCGTACAAAAATGCAAGGAACAGACCACGTTTGTCATTAGTATTCCTTGCAACATTACAATGCGATTTAGATGTTTCGAGCGTGTAACTGCAGCTGCATCTCAAGATGCCGTGCAAAATAGCGGGTCACACACGTCACGGAAAGCGGGTGGAAATGGGGAGGCAGTTATGTTTCTAATTCCCAATGTGACACCTATTCATGTTTCTTTGCCCACCTTTCAGCGCACTTTCAGATGCGCTTCTGGGGCCGTCTGGAACGCTCTTCCAAAATAACGAAGGCACCGGAGCTTTGCATTTTTAAATTTAAACTAAAAACTCACTTCTTCAATACAGCTTTTTTTGTATTGTTTTATATTTTTATTATTTTATTGTTTCCCTTCTACGTGACTTTACCGAAAGAATCAAGAATAGAGCTTTTTGTGTTTAGTTTGGTGTCCTTCCCCTCTGATTAGCGGCAGTTGGCTACGTACGGTGCGAAAGAAGTTCAACATATGTATTCTTATAATAGCAGGTAATATCAACTGATGTCTCCTCCATCCTGGATGGTTATTGCTGGGAGAGAGTGATGTCGTTTGGTAGTTGTCCCACATGTACCCATGTTTTGTGTGTGTGTGTGCGTACACATGCACACTTGCCTGTGTGCTGTATGCGTATACATGTGTGTAGTGGTATGTGTGCTGTATGTGTGAGTGTGTCTGTGCAGTGTAATCTTTGTGCTGCATAGGGGTAGGGGAGCAGTCGCGATGTGGCTAGCGCACTGCGCTACGAACCTGACGACTCGCGTTCCATTCCCGCTCACGACCAATGACAGTGGGAATCCTGGGCCTCTCCTAGGTTGACTCAGCCTTAAATTAGTACACCTGGTGCGATGTGTAAACATTAGAACTGGGGAGACAAAGGCAGCCGGGTGTGGTGTTGGTCATCCACCCTCTCATAAGTGCTTACCAAAAGCATTTGCTCAAACGGTCTGTTAAAGGCTATATACGGGATATGTTTGTCTTTGTCGGAGTCTGTGCACTGATTGGCTGTGTCCACGTATATCGTGGCCCTGTGTTTTCTGTGTGCACACAGGGTATAGTCATCGGTATGCTGCATATTTGTGTACGTGTCTCAGCCTGATATTTGTGTACATAAATGCACGTTGTAGCCTATGAGCTTGCACGTGTGTACACTTGTGCAATAGCGTGTACACGTGTGGAGTCGTCGTGTGTGCCGCGCGTGTGCACGCACGTGGCGTAGTGGTAACACCCGTGCCTCACGGCAAAAAGAGTCTGGGTTTGATTCCTGCATCGGGAAGCCTTTCTGTGTGGAGTCTGTATGTTCTCCCCCCTGTTCTGCATGGGGTTCCCTCTGAGTTCTCCAGATTACTCCCCGTAGCTATGGCAACATAAGATGTAACCCGTATTGGCCAAACGTCCTGCTGCTGAAACATGACCTGCAAATTACTCCATTGTCTGCAAAGGTTTTTCAGTAGCCTCCTGAAAAAGAGTATTGAGACTCAGTGAGGCTTTCCTGAGAAAACAAGAGGCAAAATTTTTTTATAACCTGTAGAGGCTATTTGTTATTTTATTTAACCAGGTAAGGCCCACTGAGCTGTACGGCTCTTTTTCAGAGGCTTCCTGGCCGCAAATTATAGCTCAACGAAGTGGCTTATCATCAGGTGGAAGTGTATAGCGGCCATTTACCCTAAACGAATGTGGAGGGGAAAACCGGAGGACGCGGCAGAAAAATCCACGCGACCACGGGGAGAACACGCAAACTCCAAACATACGGGCGTCAGGGTCGCGATCGGACCCACGACCTCCTGCATACCAGGCGAGGTAGTTGACATCTTGCCACCGTGGCGCCCATGTGCACGACCGCGCCTGTTTGCCTTCATGTCAATCAAGCCTTTGCGCTTTTTGTGTCTGCGCCACGCTCGTTTGTGCGAGCGTTCCACCGGTGTTGGATTCACCACTTGCCAAGGGGTGACATTGTCCTCTGAAGGGGGCCCTAGCCTGTACGCAAATAACTGAACTGGCTGATTGATATCCCTGCCTGCCTGTTTGCCGGCATCCTTGTAATGTCGCGTGCGCGCACCGAGGGCCAATCTCAAGGCCCGCGACCAGAAAAGACTGTGGGAAGAGGCCCGCCCTCTTTAATCCCCCTCGCGCAAGGTATCGGGCCTCACAATGCAGGTATTATTATATTTTCCTTTGCAAACACATTCTTCAGCCCTGTTTAAGGATTACAAAATACAGCCTCGGCCAGACCTCTATGCTGCGGGCTCTAAGGGCTGTCTGGAGAATCGCCCCTGTGTGCACGGCCGGTATGCGTACAGCGCCTGTCTGTTGTATGTATTGAAACATTTGCGTGCACTGGCATGTGTTGGCATACATGTTTTTGTTTGCGCGCAGGTGTGTGTTTGTGGGTAGCGGGTAGCGTAGTGTTTGGCACACTGCGCTATGAACCCAGCGAACGGAGAAGGATCCTGAGTCGCAACGAACGTCAGTGGCGATTGATATCCGGAGCGGTCCTGGGCCTCTCCTTGAGGTTCACTCAGCCAGTGCAGTGGGTTAACAACGGCACTGGGGAAATAAAGGCAACCGGGGCGTGGTGTGCACCACACTACATCTTTGTGTGCTGTGACAGGCATATTCGGTGCTTGCAAATATAACTTGTCCCCATAGTCTACAAGGCTAAATAGGGATCATTGTGTTTGTTCAGGGAGCTGTCGTGTAAATGGCTTGTGCATTACATTGCAGTTTCAGTGACTCGAAAATGTGATTCTTGGCCATGATGCATAACACTCGACTTAGCATGTGGAACCCTGTGCCTTGTGTCAGCATCAACGCTGGCGAGACGAAGATCCCAAAGATTGCCACGGCCTGAACCGCCTCGTACGCCATAATAATAATAATAAAATACGTATCATAGAATTAGCTTTTAAATATAGCTCTTCATGCATTGCATCTCATGGTGGTATACATTGAATTAAAGTAAAAACTCAGAAAGTAGTTGACCAATGAATCCAGCTCAATCCAAATAAGCTGACTCAAAGCAATATATTTTACAATTTCACTTAAAAGACTAAGAGGTGTGTCAGCAGCATGGCGGATATGACGCAGGTGGCGTTACCACTGAATGATCTTCAATTCTTGAACCACCCAAAGGTTCAGCATTCACTGACCTCAATGTACGACTCGGGGCGTAAGGCTAAAATGATTACATTTAACGCGTGGCCCATGAAAGTCACAAACATCTTATCAATTTCAGTAAAATAAAACAATATCTAATCCGACCAAAACATTTACAAATACAATATTGGATGGAATGGAATCTGACACCAATCCCTTTGTGTGTATCTATTTTACATTCGACTCTTTATAATCGTATACTTCATATATATTTTAGGTTTAACTTTTTTTTTTATAGATATATCTAAATTTTGATTTAAAGCTTTCGTGACTGCAGTAATTCATATTCTTAGCTCTTTCGGTAAAGTCACGTTGAAGGGAAGCAACAAAATAATAAAATATATATATAGAACAATATATTTTATTGTTTTATATATTTTATATATATTTTATTATTTTGTTGTTTCCTTTCAACGTGAGTTTACCGAAAGAGCTAAGAATATAGATATATCTCTGTCATACGTGTTTGTCACGTGTAATGTCACAAGGGATTTATCCTAGTAAAATATTAGAATTAAAGAAAACCACAGTGCCATGGAAAATCCAATGCACCA